GATCTCTTTGGTTGGGTAATTAAGCACAGATATGTTTGATGATACACTCTGGGGTGGCATCATCTAACAGTGCAGTAAAGACTTCTGATTATTCCCTCCTCTAATGCGTACATTCTGCTTAAGTTTCATATTTGTCGTAAGGCACAATAAACCCATATCGCAGAAATAACTGGTTAGTTCTGGACAAACAGTACATGCAGCAAAAGAACAAACATCCTCTGAACGTGAATCCTGAAAGTCAGAAGATTCACCCCCTCCTTGAGTTCAGAAATGTAAGAAGCTAGTTTTAAATTATATGAAACATACAAGTAAGGTATAAAATATCCTTCAAGATAATAACTGCTAGGAGATACAGGAAGACTTCAGGTCTCCTTGCTCGTAAAATGTCATTACTTTTGTTTCCAGAGTTATAAAATTATTATTCTTTTTACGATTTGAGATGGTTCTTGACCACAAGCACCAGGCGATTCATGCCCCCGCGAGTCCTGTGCACATATTTCATCCAAAACCGAAGGGATGCACTCTCCTGGTTGTGCATCTGCCCTTGCTAAGAAAAGTGCACAGGCACGGGAAATCTACCTACAGGAAAAGCTCCTGTGCACACGGGGACAAACTCTGCCCTGCTTAATTTAACCAAAAATAGTTACTGAGGTGGTTTTGCAGGATTTTTAGTCAGAATCCGTCCATTATTGTCATTAATCTCAGACTGATAGTAATAACAATAAAGATGGTTCCAGCCTTACTTCTGGCTAAAGCAGCTTTCTGAATGCGTCTTCCTGGATCCACAGGCAGGGTAAAGCAGTAAATGGAAAGAGGTATACGCTTCGATAGACTGTGACCGTTCGGTTGTAACTGTCTGAGCGTCAGCCTTGTGCACTGGTTCATACTGCCACCGTATACCGGGCCAAATGCGTCCCTGACCCAACTCCAGTGAAATGAATGGACCATATTCTCGGCTGGTGTGAAAGGACATGAAAGTCTATGGAACCGTGCTAGTTTAGCCCAGCCGAGGACCTGGCCGATAGATGTCCGCGATTTACGTGGCTGAAATGTTCTTTTAGGTAAGACCACAGGAATAATGCTGCAAATAGTCCAGACAGAGCATTCAATTTAACGTATTTCTGGTTCTCCGCAAAACTTTGAGCAAAACAAAGGCAGCTTTAATTAAAAGTAGTAAAGAACAAAGGGTTTTTTAACACCATGCTTTGTAGGAATTTGCTTAAACTTCAAGCGTATTTTTCAAAGCTGAGTCTGGGACCAGGAAAGTAGTAGAATTTGGCAATGTTTCCTGTAAGATTTCCAGTGGACTTACAAGTTACAAACATATGTGAAGTTGGAACGATCCTTTATTCTCATCCGTAACAGAGAGGGAGGGAGGGAGAAGGAACACGTATGCCAGACAGACATACCTTCCATTTAAACAACAGAATGTGATAATAAGGACGGTCTGCGGGGCTTGGACACTCGCTGCCATTCACGTGTGTGGGACATGAGCATCCATATCCCCTAAACACCATGTAAAATCCTCAGTTGGGCAATCAGTGGAGCAATGCCTTATTTACAGCAGCCGAAGATCCGGCCCCAGACGCTTTTCGGGGCTTTGTGTACTGTCTATTTAGAGCAGTTAGCCTGCTTGCTTGAGGGCCACATAATAAAAACCGACCCTTATTTTACAGTAGGAGTAAAACTACTATTTAAATATCTATTTTAAAAAACACTGTACCGTGCAACAAGTCTTTATATTGTGCATATGTACCTGCAGAAAACATGAGGTTATAACTACGTTATCTGGAGGGAATGACACTTATTTTCAATGGGGGAAAGAAAGAGTAAAACATAATAATAAAATAATTTACTCGATATCTGGAAGACTAGAATAGATTAATCTTACTTTGTCCCAAACCACTGCTTTTATGTACACCCACCACTCCCACTGAAGAGTGGGAAGTCTCCTATTAGAAGTACCAGACACTCCAAGATACGCGCCACTGTAACAACACGCACAGTTTTTGCGTCAACTGTGCTGCAAAGCCATGGAATTCAGAGCCTCAGGAACACAACAATGCAAAGGAGGAAAAATTTAAAAAAAGTAACAGGTACTGGCATAACACCACAGTCTTTTCAGTTATGAGACCTGATCGTGTCAACAACTGAGAGCACGCTCTGAAATACTCTTTAGCTTGCCTCCAAATATAGTCTGAGCTTCACAGACAAAATGTTAAGCCCCAAACAACTCCTTCAGAGCCACACGCACATTCTCCATTAATATGGCAATGATACAGGGTCCTTCTAATTTTCCAAAGGGTTGAATAAATTCATGCAAAGCAGATACAGTTACTGTTACCGTCATCATCATCTTGGTTTTATGGGCGAAGAAGAGGTGGAAAGCAGACTGCTCATGCTGGAGCCCAGCAAACAGATAAACAAGCAGAACAGAGAGGAGAACTCTGGACTATCAGATTCCCTGCTCATGCCGAGATCCCCTGAACATCAAGGGAAGTTGTGCCAGGGGAACATATAGCTCCATGTTCTGCTTATGATAATCTCCACTTCAAAGCGCTCGCCTTAAACACCCTTTTTGCTCGGGAGCACGTGGGGACAGCCAACTGCTCATGGGCTACTTCTGTTCACAGAGCATCAGTGACTGGGTACAGCTGCAAAGCGCACGCCTTGCACACTTGCTCTTCCCTTTCCCTGCAGCCCTACGGACTCTGGCTCGCGGCATGGACTCCAGTGCTTACCGACAGAGCTCAGCTTCGAGGTTCCACAGAACACCTTGTAAAACACGCTGTATTCAATATAGTGCAAAAACAATAGCGAGGATGCCTATGCCATGCTCACAGCACACAGAAAAAAACCTTCATTCCTCAAAGGCTTTCCACAGAACCAGTTAACAACCAAGACAGAAACAGACTGGGATGTGCCACCTCTATTCTCTTTCCTTTCCATTTTTTTTTTTTTGTCCTTTACAAGTGATCTTGTTTTGTCCTGAGCCTGATTTGGAGCCCACAGAAGCTTATGAAAACACTGCCCATTGCTTTCCACAGGCTTTGGACCAGGCCCCTGATGAGGATGAATACATGCTTTAGTTACTGTATATATTCACATTAGAATAAAAAAAAGAACAACAAAACAAAACCACAAAGATTATCAACATGTCACTTTTATACATCTGCATTCTTCTTATTATTTTAAAGCTTAAGAATGTGCTTTTCCATGCTACGAAAACTCCTCTGGAGGAAAGGTAAGATCTGTTCCACCTGCCCAGAGCCCGCCTGCCCTGCTGTCCCCGGCGCAGCACAGCGGGGCGAAGGGAGAGGAGACCCATCCCCAGCCAGGCAGCGACCACGGCTGCTCCCACGAGCCCTTCGGGCAGCTGCAGTTCCCACCATCAGCCCCCACGCTGCTTATTCTGGAAGGATATATAAATACAAGTTTAATTACACGCGGATGGGGGCCTGCCTGCTTGAACAGCAGCTGGAGCCCTCCCACACGGGCTGGTTGGCCAAGGGGTCCGTGTAAACGCGGGGCTGCCTCCCCTGGCCTGCCCATCCAACCTTTCCGGCGCATCCGCCTGAGGCTGGAGCCAAGACCTTTCCCTCGGCACGACGGCTCTGCCCGTGGTCCCTCTCCGGACTCCTCCTGCCCTGCTGACGTGGTGCGGAAGGACCTATCTTTGGCTCTCTGCACCGCTAGTAAATGTCACCCACGATGACCAAAAGACTTAAAACTCTTCTTACTCGTGCAAGTAGGGGCACCGAAGTCAGCGGGTCTACTTGCAGAAGTAAGGCATCAGGATTTGGCCCTGAGGACGGATATTTGCAAGTCAGTGTTTTTATTCCTCCTGCCACTGTGCTTTAGTAACAAAGATAAGGCCACTAGGAAGAAAGGCACGTGGAATTCTGTAAAAAATACACAAAAAGGTTCAACTAATTCGCAAATTACTAACAAAACAAACAAAAAACCCCTGAACACAAAGACAGAGGGGGTAGAGACAGGGACCTCCTGGGTTTGTGAGACTGGGAGTTCATTTTCTAGTTTCAGTGTGATTAACATTTTACTTTTACAGTCTATTGCTTGAAAAACTACAAAAAAGTAAAACCTTGTCAGAAATAACTACGTTTACTTCCTGCTCAAACAATAAAAATAAATTAAACAGCCAGAAAACGTTTTCCTTTTCAATGCATTGTGTCTAAAGTGAAAGGGAACATAAACCATAAATAAAATCCATTGTACTAATTTAAAAAAAGTCTCCTTTATAAGAACTGAAACAATATTTACATTCATACTGGAGAGAAAGCTTCTGAGTTGCATAATTAGAGTTTCAAATGATGCTTTTTCTGGTGCACTGACAAAATGCTAGCTGTAGCATTTAGAAACCTGTAACTATTTGATGCGAGATTTTTGGTTTGAACACAAGTCTGCTGGGAAAAAAGCAAACACACCAGTAACAGTATTATTTATGATTTTGCTTCGTTTCTTAACCTCAAACAACATAAAAGTAGCCGGTGAGGTATCGTCTAGAGTTCCTTAAAAATTTCTCAATGCCCATGGACTAGATAGAAGTAAACAGCAAAAATGACTGCATTGTTTCTACCTTTTTGGAGCGAGATTTTTGTTTTCTATCTAAAGTTAGGAGTGTATACTTACTGTTGAGAGTATGCTGTACTATGGAGAGTCTAGTTAAATTATCAGGGTAGTATCTCTTAGCCAAACCTGTACCCAATCGCTTGGTACTTGCCCTGGCGTTTTCTTTCTCCTTTAATCTGCTTAAAAGAGAATACTGCATGCAAACCAAGCATGGCAACCTAATTCCATTGCCGGAGATTCCTCTGTACATTGATTCAGTCCACTTAAACGTTCTTCTGTTTTCCTTAAATGAAAAAAACAAAAACAAAAACCACCAAAACCCAAACAAACAAAAAAAAAACCCACTTGGTGCTTGTTAGGGCCTCAACAGGAGACTTATCTATTAAAACAGAAAGCAAGGAAAAAAAAAGTTACAAGTCTTGCATATCTTCATCCATCTGAACTGTCTGCAGTTTGGCAAGTTCTTTTTTGTCCGTTTCCAGTTCTTCACAAACCGTGTCAACCATGTTACTCATAACATACTTGGATTTCGAATCCAGCATCATTAAATTGCCAGTTGACTTACTCTCAGAATTAGGTAAGAAATTCTCTTTGACATCAGGTACGGCTTGCAGAACTAACCTGTGCTCTCTGACAAAATCTTGATGTACTTGTGCAGAGGGGTGGCTGACACGGTCTCCGCTTGTAGAAACTACTTCTCCAAGCGCGGGCTGTGCTGTAGAAATGGACAACAGATCTTGACTGGTAATGAGGGAACAGTTCTGAAGGGTTGCATAGTTAGTGTTGCTGATAGATATCACGGTAGAGGTACTGGTCACAGGCGATGACATGGACTGGCTCTCCGAGATACCAGAGTTCAGTTCTGCAGCATTTAAAAGAGTTGGTGGTGTGAGGGAAAAATTATGTGAGGGCGTTACATTCACTAACGAGGAGGCCAGGGACTGCAGTCCTCCGCTGGATATATTTTCAGAAGACATGTTTACGTTTAGTTGCGTGTTCTGACCGACTGGCATCAACTGAGAAAACACAAGGCTTCTTTCCAGTCCTTCTTGCTTGACAGAGCCCACTGCCTGGCCTGAATTGGGAACCGTATAAACGACTGCACTCGGAGCGAGGGGGCTGAAGAAAACCTTTCCTTGCTGCACTGTTGAAGACTCAGTCGTAAAAGTTCCTCCATCAGATGTGCTGGGATTTACCGAAACATTACCTAGAGAAAGAGAAGCAAAAGAAAGGAAAACACGGGTTATAGTCGGCAGAGGGTTGTGCAGGCATTTCGTTAAGATGTTTCGGTCTTCTTTATGTTTGCAGTACGCACATATGCTAGTATTTCATGCAACACAGAACAGTCTTGTTTGTACCAGGCGAGAGAAAATTTGGTATGAAAAAATAAAAGCTGTTAATAGAAAACTGCGTCTAGAAAGAAAAAAAAAAATGGTTCTGGTATATTAGGTATCTTTCAGACTCTCATTAAGGGGCAAACAGTCCCTGGCCATGTGATTAAAATGAACGTGCTTTGGCCTTCACTAGTTGCTACCACTCAATTTCTATCTAAGAATAGAAGCATGAAAAGCTATTAAAGATAGTTCAGTGACAGACTACAGCTTGTGTGTGGGAAACCAGAGACACGTCACATGAAATCCACTACTGCTGGGCAGAACCTACCTGAGCCAACCCCTGCAGAGAAAGCGTCAAAACCCAGTAACTTCTACCAGGTTAACTAGGTAGTCTGTCAAGTATTCCGACGTATCGCCTTTCGCCTTGCTTTATCACATATTTCTAAAAGCCTAACACTACCGCATCTACCATGCCGTGTACAGCTCCCCAGCAACTGTCTACCCTCGCTGAAAGCCATGGCACTGCTGCTGTGATGTTGTAGCTAGCCAGAGCGAGAAGTGGTGGCTAGAGACGATCTGAAGTTGGTTTTACTGGACATGCCATGTCAGTTGACATTATAATCATTCCTAAAATAAGATATACTGGCTCTCAGGACTGGGTCCCACTTCAAACACCTCTCTTTCTCAAAAGCAGTTTAATTAAAATTTTAAGAGGCTACAGTTGGAGACACCTGAATTTTTTTAGAACAGCACCAAAGATGCATTTCTTACCTGGGGAGTATTTTAGCTCCCTATTAATTTCCATTACTCAATGATGATTTTTTGGAAGAAGTTACTCATATGTGTAAATTAGAAGAATAAACTGCGGCAACTGGAAGTTACCTGGCAATAAGATATCATTTACTGTAGCTTACTTAAAATAGCCTGCAGCGCACTTCACTTGGAATAGGCAGCCAGCTATCCATCCTTCTCGTGTTAAGAAAACCAAAAAGAAATCAAAGCAGCAAATACGGATCTGGATTTTTCTCTGCACCACACTAGACACATGGTGGATCACACTCCAGTAGAAACTGGTATTTCTAACAATGGGAAAAACGTTCAGAGAGGCACTTATTATGAATCTTAGGACTTTCAAATACAATAGTCCCACATTACTTAAGGGACAGAACTTCCTCACCTTTGCTGGTGTCAGTTTATGCCTTGGAGCATGTGGATTAAATGGCTTTTGTAATTACAAGGTGGTATTCAGACTAAATGTCTTCTCTTTTTTTTTTTTTTTTTTGTTAAACTATGTACCAATAACTTCCAGTGACTGCAAGTGCCACATTTTAGGATCTTGTAATTTTGCACCCATTTCAAATGTGTCTGTACAGCTCCCCGTATTTAGCAGCAAGAATAATTCACTCCCTATACATGCTTAATTCAAATAAGCTAACACGAGCACAGTTTGATTTTCATTATAGTACTCATGGCTCCTGAGACTAGAAAGATTCATTCAGGTTTAAATCATTTTCATAACCAAAGATACAGTGGCTAATAAGCAATAAAGCTGTTCAGTTGTGCTTTATAACTGACCTGCTTCAAAACATGGATCCAGAACTAGGCTTGTGCTCCCTGGAATTCTTCCTGGCTGGCCGCAAGTTTCAGTCTATGGTATGTTAGGACAAACTCTAAAGCAAACTTGGGGAGGAGCCTGCACACTTGGCACATGAACCTGTGATGACATATTTCCCTTGGACTGAGGGCAGTTTATCCAAATACCCTCGCATTTTATATCTACGAGCTACTGCGTATTTCTATTGTTTCCCTGCAGTTTAATCTTTCTTAATTATAGGACAGAAAATGCACAAGCCTAACTGCTTGGTCTTGTTGTGTCTATAGTAATTTAAAATTTATTTTTATGAAATCTTTTGGTTAAAAACCAAAAAAACCCAAAACAACCACCACAAAAACAACAACGGTAACAATTTCCAGCTGTCGCAATTTTCATTTTTATGAACCTTCTGATTAAAAGGATTCAATGGCAAATGGGGAATATTTTGAATTACTGAAACGTGTAAAATTTACAGATATTTGTGAAGACCAGTCTCACAGACTTCTGAGAACAGTGTGAGATGAAAGGGGTGTAAAATACCAGACCTCCTTCTCTGCTCTTAGCAGAGCTCAGCCTCACCTAACAGTCTGCCCACGAGCATAAGCTATTAGAAAGGAAGGCAAAAGGGATTATTTGATGCACTGCATGTGGCTGTGGCTGAGATACAATGCTGGTACCTCGGACGAAAAGTACCACGGCTTCTAAAGCGCAAAGTGTGCCTGAGCTCAGCTTTTCTTCGTACCTCTTACTGTAACAGACAAAACTTTTACCTTGTGAAGCTGCCACAGAAACGGGAGGCAGCTGCAGAGAAGAAAAACCGATGCTTCCGTTCAGCAGCTGGCCATTTGTTCCTGAATTGGGGATCTGGACAATGCCATACTGGTTTATTTGGACAGGAGCAGTAAAAGTAACTACGGAGCCTCCATCTTGGGAAGCAGCAGTTTGTACGCTTTCCCTTTTCACCTCTGAGCTCGGTATCAATCCCGGGAATGAGACCGGGATGTTGCTGGGGCTGAAGGTGGCTGCCGCAGCGCTGGGGACCGAAGCCTGAAGGAGTTTGAAGTCCTTAACATCTTCTGACGAAGATGACAGTATGTCAGTAATGGACACCCCGTTGCTCACAACGCTCGACGTGGTTTTGGGTGAATTTAAGGTAACCGTCTGCGAAGCCCCCACGCTGAGTCCATTGAGAATGACACCGTTGGGTCCCTGAAGGAAAGAGCTACCATTGAGAAAGACGGGAGAGGTACTGGCAGGCACGAGGTTTCCATTCAACAAGACACCAGATGAGCTCAAGGCTATTTTAGTGTTTCCGAGCTGCTGCATGTAGACGGGCTCCATGTGGCCAGGAAGGCTGAGGCTGGCAACGCCATCGGATGAGCTGGAGAGCGGATGGGGAGATAAATCCTCCTGCCCCTTACTGGATTCATCTTCTGTGCTAGGGTTGCCATCTGACTCGCTATGGGAAAAGACGGAGAGATGACATTGCATTACCACGGCGTGCCAGCGAGCTCCGCACCGAGGGGGACGCCTTGCTTTGATACAGTTTGTGAGAGTTTTCCCGAGGAATTTTTTCCGTGTTTCGCCTTTACAAGGCACTTTAAACAAACTCCCGAGTCAAGGGAAAGGTTCCTTAGGGGAGGACACA